GTTCTCACGGAACCCACTCGTTCCGTTGCGTCTTATGGGTTCTCTCTGGAGCCCAATCAGCAGCCGCGCAGCGGCGCATGATATAGGTAGAATGGTATTACCGACAAAGACAAGGGAGATTGGAATGGCCACTTCTGCCTTATTATCCATCGTCAGCCAGTTATACCCAGCCCGGAAGTGTGGAACACCCGAGGTTCCAACTCGCGACCTGTCAGTTAGAAGTCCATGCCTCTAACCACTGGGCCACGAGCCCGTTGCTCTGTCGGTTTTCGATCACGTATGCCATAATGACCTCTGTTTCAATCAGAGCGCAGAATAGGCTATAAGAATCAAGGTGGGCGACGTAGTCAAACCAATTAAATGAACCAGATGCTGTAATATGCGCTTGAGAAAGGGAGGTGATCGATTTGACTGGATGAAGTTGTTTATAGGCAAAAAGACTTCGGGCAATGAAATAGTTGCTTTCTTTTTACATTTTACGTATCTTTGAACGACTTAATGAGGTTTGATCTTATGTAGACAAAAAGTTGCATCGCATGCCGGTCAAGGATGAGTCCATTGGATGGCTCATCATTAGATCATGTGTTTGAAAAAACGGTGAACGACGATAAATTATACCAAATGAGGAAGAGGCGTTCACCGAAAGAGGTGTATTTGAGATCTGACGTTTCGGGTAGTCGTTTCTTCTACCCATCTTCCGAGACTGAGCAGTCATGCACACAGCATTCCTTCTATGGCGCACTTCGTTTGATGACTGGCCCACAAATGCCGCCTGTGTGGCTGCATCCGACCCGCATGTCACCGTGACCTGAATCGCCCCCGTCGGCCGCGGAGATGACTGCGGCCCCGATTTTCCCGCGCCGTGACTGTCCCCAGCTAAGGTTCGTAAAGTCAGATAGGGGGGAGGCAAATTGATGTGGCGGTTGGCAGAGCGGTCGGTGGACATCCAAGCTTCCTGCACTTGGCATGCTGTGTGATCGCCGCCCCGGCCCACAATCTCAACGGCTTCAAAGTTGAAGATGTGTCCCATTTGCGCGGCATGGGTTGCTACCTCCGACTTTGGGCCCAACCTTTGCACGACCAACTTATGTTCATGCATTCGCGTTTTCAGCCGTCAGCCGGTTTCCCCAAAGTAGTTGAACGTTCTGCAGCTGCATTCAAGTCGGTAGACAACAGCCGACATCTCCTGCTTATGGATCGGATCTTTTGTACGCATCACTTTCCGGCGGATTGTTGAGTCAGGCCTGTGGGCAACACCTATTCCGAGTGGCGCGAGTGATCGAGCCACGGCTTCGGAGACCCCTGTAATGTACGGAATGCACCGCCACGATTTTGGCTGACTAGATTCTTCCTTCCGCTTCCTTGGTTACTTTCGGCTCCGTTCAACGAATGTTCGCGGATAGCCGTCGGCTCTGAAGAGTTCTTGGAGTAGCTTCATCCCGTCCAGTTTGGCGACTGGAGTGCAGCAGTGAGTTTTCACCCGTCGGTATAGAGTGCGTACACAGCTTCGTTTGTGGTGTTGCAGTGGGTGGTTGCTGTCGAAACTGAGCATTTGCAGCGTGTTCGTCGGTTTTTTGCAAACTGAAGTCTCCAGTTTGCCGTCTGGTTGGCGACAGATGAGAACATCCAAAAATGAAAGTTTCCTCTCCACTTCTTCTTCCATCGTGAACTGTAGGTCGGGGATGATTGAGTTCTGTAGTTCTTCATAGTAGCTAATTTTATCCTGATCGATGATTACGAAGGTATCATCAACGTAGCGCGCCCAAAACTTGGGTTTGTATTCCCCGAACAGTCGTTTTTCGAGTTTTTGCAGAACGGCCTCGGCAATGAGTCCGGAGATTGGTGAACCCATCGGAGTGCCCTTAATTTGCTCATATGTGATCCCCTCGAAGGTAAAAAAAGTCTTGAGACTGTGTCCCATGAGTTCTATGAGATCCTGAGCTGTGGGCTGGCCAACGCCCTCGTCGTAATTCTGACATAGCAGGTCACTGAGCGTCTCAACCGCAAGGGCCTGTGGTATGGACGTGAAGATGGAGACGACGACACATGACACCATCCTCTCATTCGGTTCGGTCGTGACCGCCTTTATTTTGTCGACTAATTGCTCTGCTGAGTGTACTGTTGTTTCTGAGCCCGCGGTTAGGAATATTAGGTTTTGAGACAGCCAATTTGCGAGTCCGTTCGTAGGTGTGCCTCGGAGTGAGACGATTGGTCGGAGGGGAACATCCGGCTTGTGTACCTTTGGAAGACCATAGAATCTCGCCATCGGTGTTTCTGTGGGCTTTGCTATATACCACTCTTTGACGGTGATGACTTTTTCCTTTTTTAGTCGAGACAGAATTCTGTTAACCTTCTCCAGTGGGGACTTTAGCCTGGCGGCGTCGCTGACCATGTAGGACGCCCGGTCGTTGAGGAGCATGAGGGCTTTGTTTCGGTAATCCAACTTGTCAAGGATAACGGTTGATCGGCCTTTGTCAGCAGGCAGAATAACTATTTCAGTGTTCGCTTTCAACTCCCTTAGGGCCTTTTGTTCATCTCTTAGCAGCGAATGGGTTTTTCGGTGTGACATGAGAAGTGAAGAGATTTGGTGTCGGAGGAGGTCTTTTGCCTCGTCTGAGGCGCTGGTTTGACGTAGCACAGATTCGAAAGAAGCAATGGATGTGACCGGGTCGGCGTCAATTGTGTTAAAACCAGATGCACGTTGTAGAACTTTTGTTTGGCCACAGTAAGATGTCTCGACGAGAGGTTGTGTACTAACGCTTGTTCAGGTTTCCGGGATTGTGCGGTCTGCAGGGCCATGAACTTTACCGATAAGTCCGCATCTCTGCTAGCACGCTTCTTTCGTCCCAATGATATTAAGGTTTTCTCCAATGTAAATTCTAATGATCAGCCAACACATTCACAATTAATAATCCGGGATCTCGGGAAGAATAACAGCTCCAATTGTCATCCTAACGACTAAATAAAGTGGCAACTAGCATGAGGAGACCAATAACACCAAACAAACACGGAAACTTAGACGATTTTGGGGATAGCATGCTTTGCTCAGCGACGTTAATCTCTCGGTGTAATTTCGACATAACGCCTGTAGCTTCGCACTGTGTCTACAAACGAGTAGTGGCTCTTATTTACACTATTCAGTATCGGAGTTTTTTGCCGTCAGAGACCAATTGTGTTGGCATAAGTAAGCCGCCAAGAGACAAAAGTGTTTATACAGTTGATGTGCTATCTCGCGAAATATTGACCGAAATTCTGAAGTGTGTTTGTGCCCCAAAGAGATTTCCTAGACAGAGTTGTGGTGTTAGTTGTCATGCAGCATAACTCGAGATATTTCAGTCATTTCAGGTCGCTGAACGAGCTTCTTTCTCGCCGCCTGAAAAAAAATACACTAAGCAAAATATCTACCTAAAACGCACGGACTTTCTTATTGATTTTAGCGACCTCATAAATTAACATGCTTTTTATAGAAGATAGAGACAACATTCCGCCTTGTACTCACTTGGTAGCAAATTGCCTCCTGTTAAACTCTTATATTTGAACGACAGGTATCGTTCAGTTTTAAGCACTTTTGCAATTCCCGAATTATTCTGGACACGAATTGTATCCAGGGTCTCCTAGCAACTAACTAGATAATTTCTACGAAAGACTTCATATAAGGATCGTAAGGTTTTGCAATGGATAGGAACCATGTCGCACACCTTTTAAGCGGTTTTAATCCCTGGACAGATATAAACACAAAATCTACCGAAGACGTTACTTTCTGCAAAGCAAGCTCACGTAAGAATTTTTGTGCTTGTTTTCCACAACATATAATTCGCTTTATAATCCGTCTAAAATCGCTGAAAAAATGCATATGAAATAAGCAGTAATTTTATACGAGATGCAGATCTTGCAGACTACAAGGAAGGTCTTCCAAAAGCGACCACGTAAACGTTACTGGAATATTTCATGATTGCGCTGCACGATAGTTGATATTATAACCCTTACTGGGCATTTTTTTGCATTTAAATCGTATTTTTGAATTTTGGTGTAAATTGTTACTACAACCAAATACTCACTCTATATTTCAGGGGAAGTTGTCCAAGTCTAAGAGAGGCTTAACTAACTGATTAGTCTCACATAATTTATATATATTCTGTCGTCCATGTAAACGTGTGGCTTTTAAAAGTTTCCCGCTGTTATATCGGCATAGAACACTGAGACTTTTTAAGGTATCGACTGCTAATGTGACTGATTTGATTATCTGTATTTGAAGCGGGCAGAATTTTATTAACATAGGAATATTTAGTCTTTATTATTGCAACGCTTAGTCAAAGGATTTTACTAGTTGAAATTTTGCAGGAGATATATCTTCGCTGCAGCAATCACAGGTATCCAATAAGAGAATCTCGTATTGAACGGGTTACGGAGGCTCTATGCAATGTTTTTACAACTTTCTAGAAATATATCATTGAAGTGATATTTTGCTCTGGATGTTCTGCACGACTGCACGTTCAGAACGATAGAACAGGGCAGTTGAATGCTTAAATATATGTCATCAAGTGTTATTTGATTTTTGCGTGAAGGTGCTGTGGATTCAAAATGTCCACAGCCTATTGTCGGTCAATAATCCAAGCCTCACCTGAAGTATAAGGCCCTGCGAAGGTGCTAGTTTACAATTTAGCGAGCAAGAGCATTTTGGTCGGGTACTGGACGGTTATTTAGACGAAACCACTAGTAAGGAAAATATGTATGCAAGGTCCGTAGGCGGTAACTTATAGTGAATGCAAATGCGTCGTTAATGTCGACCTGGATTCAATCATATTTGATTTAAATTTTTATTTGAGGGTAAGGTACTGAAAGCTAATGAACGGGAGGAGAGATACCTGGCAGTCATGCGCGAGTTGGTTAATCGTTACTTGGTGCAAAAGCAGATGTCAAGCAATGGTCAGGGCGTTACGGAGGACGACCTCAATGAAATCAAGGGAGATATTAGCGCATTTCGATTCGAACTCCTCGACATACTGCAAGCAAATGGAATGAAGATCAACCCGGACGAGCTGGTCAGAAAGGGTCTGACTTTCTTTATGATTGTGCTTTACTGAGCTGTTTTTTACAGTTTTTGAGTAACCTGCGGTTTCCTTTACAAATGCTCTGCTAAACGAAAATTGCCTGAACACGATGCAGAGGGAGAAGCAGAAAATGGACAGTTTCGGGTTATTTCTTTAAAAACTGATAGAAAGCACACATTATATGATATCAAAATAGAATGTATGTCTCCCAAATTGAACATCTAAAAGAATTCTAGATGGTTTTACAGATATGCACTTTCCAGATAAGCCCTGGTATAGAGTTGTGACTGCTCTCGTAAGGCTGTAAGTATCATGTTTTGGTTGCGATATTAGATCCTCAACTGCCACATTTTGCCGTAGTTTTCAGGACTAGGTGAGATAAATTTCGGAATAAGAAAATGTTTCAAAGAAAACCCAAAGCATATCTCCTAGTCCAGATCTGTTTGTTTTAAGGGGCCTGCTAACTGGTTTTTCCGTTCAATAAATGCTCTTGAAAGATTTTCTGGTGGAATCATAATGAGCACTCAACTGGCCAAGCAAAGGAGGTCACTTTGTGAAAGAAGAGGACTATAATTTGTAATTAAACGTCTTGGCGGATAGATTAATTGAGACTGGATGGATTGAGTCTGACTGGCATTACCTCGTGTAAACTGCATAATCTTTTGCAAGGCAACTTGTCCGAATAACGTTTCGGTCTATGTTCCGCCGCAAAAGGTAAAATAAACTGGTGGTGTAATGTTAAGTACCGAAGGTTAGCTGTCCTTGTACTAGCTATGATTCGCTGAACTTCGATTCATTTATACAGCAGAAATTTCCTATTCAGCAAATCAGTAACTCGAGCATTGGGTGTTTGCTGCAACCGCGGTTTTCGCCATTCAGTTGGGTGTCTTTTTTGAAACACTAGGAAACAAACTCAGACGAAAAGGCAGCAGACGCGGTCTCATCCATTCCTGGAAGCCGGATGACTTTCATTTGGAATCTCTCGATAAGACAGAGAGTTACGAAGCCGCAGTGTCGACACCACCCTCAGAGGTCAGAGGACAGCCAGAGGACAGGGAGCCCCAACCCAGCCTGGCTGCCAACCTTCCACTACAGAAGTCTGTTACCGCTACCGATACTAGCCTCGGCGCAGCTACAAATCTAGGATTTGTCGGAGACACCCCTGAGGTGCCGCCTTCCGTGCTCTCTGAGTTCCCTCACACAGAGCCAGAGCCTCAATTTCAGCTAGCATCGTCAGTGGGCGATGTGAGACAGCGACGGCTGCCCGACGCTGGTATAGAATATACCGAAAATACAGAAAAAGACAATGCTAGTCCTGAATCGCCAGAGGCAGTTTCACTGCAGACCACATTGGCTCACGGACTAGCAGGAGGAACGGAGATCGGTACGAAGGAGACGCTGGCAGAAAGAAGTACCGCACATAAAGGGCTGGAGGGTCCGCAACATGCAGACGCTTGGGTATCAGAGAGACATGCAGACAGTCAAATGGTTCAAACATCAAATGGAAAGTTCGTTTCCGCCTACTGTGGACCTGAAGAGGCCGGCTACGTTAGATGCTTATCGTATGTTTCATATGACACACAAGAAGGGCCAAACAAATCAAACACGGTACAACAGATGGTTGGAAGGAAGGACGTTCAACCGCCTCAATCCCGTCGACAAGAGACCGACCTAACGGATTCATTTTCTTCATACGACTCTGTACCAAGGGCAGATTTTGTGTAAAACGGTAGGCAAAAATGACCACACCCATTTCCAACTCGGGATTCTGCCATCATGTTGAACCACATTCCAGCAAAGTAACTCGGTTTTTAATGCATTCAAAAACTTATGCATCACCAATTATTTATTAAAACATGAGCAGAGTAATCTACAGCCATCTTCGATTCGATATTCTGTTCCATTTTGCTTTTGTCAAGGGAAACCTTTGCTACGTTGTTATAATTGTCTCTGTTATCTCAGGGAAGCTTTCAAGCACCCAAAGCTTCACTGAAACAGCAAAAAGCTTTGTTCGCCTAACTATGAGAGAATTCAGTCACAGTATTGTATTGAGCACTAGTTTAGGAGCATGCTTTGCTGATACTCCTTTATCGCACTCTTATAAATGTGTCAAAATACTTGCAATAGTTGCCCAACACGAAGAGGAAATTTCAAACGTTTAAGAGGACGTAACTCCAAGCTCCCTTAAGCTGCCCGACCCTAATCTCCACAATTTACGCTTTGCCTATCATTAATTATAATAAACCACCTTTCGATTACAAAACCAAGCAGTAGCATCGACTGAACTTCGGTATATTAACATGGTCTGCATTGTGTAAGGCATATGATTATTTTTATTCTGCGAATATGTGCTGTCAAATGCTTAGGTCTGGATTTGCATTGACTCACCGTTCGGATTAAGGGCAAATAGGATCGCAGATCATGATAATCTTCCCAGTAGCCTACAATTTCTCATCTGTCTGCACTTGGTATAAAAAATAACCGGAACATGGCGAAACCGAAACTCGTCGGAAAAAGA